GAACGGGAGGAGAGTGTCCATCCTTCTCCCGCTGAGCAGCTGGTGGCCTCGAACTACATGCCTTCGGGATTACAGCACAGCTTCTTGCCACCAGGCCATCAGAGCTCCCGTCAGGGCCTCTCTGGTTCACCTGAAGGCCGCCCACATTTTCTTAACCCATCCCTCTGTCTCCAATCTCCACTCTTCCACTTTGTACCCTGCCAGTTATCTTTCGCAAACACATACCTGAACATGATAACTTACTTTAAAATCTTCAAACTCTTCCTTTTATTTTTAGGAGAAAAGTCTTACATTCTCTAACTTAGCATAAAGTGGCCTGACTTGACTTTGTAATGTGATCTCCCAACAGAACAGCCTTCAAATATGAGATGCTCTAAACAATTTCTAGACTATCTGCCATTCTTAGCATAACTGCGTAAACTGGACACGATGACGATTAACTCAGAAGAGTTTTTAAAATTTCATTATTTATTGCCAAAGAACAATATTAAAGAGAAAAGTAGTAAGAATTGAAGTAAATTTAAAAAATAAATAAAGGTAAGTGCCAACTGTTTGTGTATAACCAACTCCATCTCCATGGCAGGACTGGACTTGTCTTGCCCTGAGAGGCTTCCTTTAACGGCTGAACCCAAGCTCACAGGAATTGCAGCCCAGGGCTATATCCAACATGTTAAATCTCTAGAGAAAAGCATCATATTTCAGAATATCCCTCTATTACATTGTTATTATTTATCTATGCCCTATTATCATCAGCAGAACCCTTTGGACTCACGTTCGAACTTTGGGTTCTGATTTCCATCCTAGACTTAAGTCTGCCTCAACTATTTCCTCTTGTTCAGAACATATCATCTTTTTCTAAATTTGGGATATGTGCATCTTACAGCCAGGCATCCATTCACGCAGTGATTTTAATTAGAGCTGAAGTTTCAAAAGAAAAAAAAGAAAGAATCTTCTCGGGTTAAGAGGGAAGTTGCCGCATCGTGGTTTGTTGTGCATTGCAAGGCTGCTTTCTTTAAGTTGGTAGTAGAATTAAGAAGCAAGGAGTCAGAAAAATGCAAGCTTGAGCTCTAGGTCTGCCACCATCTGACTGAAAAGAGCTTTGACAAGTTAGCTCATCTTCCCAAGGCAGCTTCCTCACTAGTAAAATTAAGATTAGTCTCTTCCCCTTTAATTGTGGAGCTGAGAAAAGGGGACAGGGGCAGGGTTTTCATATAGATCCAAACTTCCTACATGGCTGTTTCTTCTCTTACCTCTTTGTAAACGTTTGGAATCAGGCTTCATAACAAGACTGTCTTTGTGCCCCGCTGAGACTTTGTCTGATACCCAGAGAGCAGAAAGAAGAAAAGAATGGACCCAGATTTAGTGCCCATTTTGGGATTGGCATGACAGATATTGGCTCAAACTTTCAGCCCTAGTAGTTTGATTGTACACAGGGAAACTGAACAAGTGAGTGAAGTAAGTGCATACATTAAAGATAATGGGAGCCAAGTTTCTCACTATTAGACACAAAAAGCTTTGTACTCTCTCTCTCTCTCTTTTTTCCCTGTTCTCACAATAAAACAGGAAGTCATAGAGAGTAATCCCAGGAGCAATAATCATTCATAGCTCCCAGAGTTTACTTATAAACACTATGCTTCCTAAAAGGAACGAAAACTCCTTACAGAAATGGCTGGCCCCAAGGCAACAGCAGGAAAATACAGGATTAGCCTGGGATAGAAAGAAATATGTGACCACAGAATGAGGTGAACATGTCCAAAGGACCCATCTGAAAGGATTTCTACCGATGAACTCTATGACACTTGGAGACCAGAATTTAAAATGATGGCAATAAATTAGAACTTTTTATGAAAATAGGAATTCATGAGTATGAGCACATGCTGATAAATAAGTATAAAAGGCACATGGGGAAAAATGGGAGGGAGTTTCTATGTTACAGTTGAATGCCGAGTACTAAATCTAGGAGTGAGGGAGTTAGAAAATCACCACTTGACAGCCATCAGAGGAATAACTGATGCAGACGAGAATCTCAAAGGATCCAAAATCGGAGAGGGGTAATTATAATAAAATACAGGACATTTAGTCTCAGAGTCTCTGCACCAGAAAGTGCTTATCAATGAATTTACCTATACAGTGAAAACTAAGAAAGCTGAAATTTGATGAGACCAACTTATCTTGACTTGCAAGTATTCTTCTTTTGACAGGGTACAAGCTTATCACTTTTCTATAGCTTGTTTCTGTGGAATATAGTTTGTTCTTCCTTCCCTGACAAGTTTCCACCTTACACCATTCCAGCTTTCACAGGCTTCACTGTGGTAGAGAAGAAGCCTGTGGCAGATTAAATCTTAACTAAGGGATAAAAGTTAGCATCACCAGTAATGGAATAAATGGATTTCATGTTACCCCTGGGAGGATTCACTGAGAGCATCCCTTCATCTTTCTCGCCTTTCTCTCACAGATGCAAAAATCATGAGGAAACATCGGACCAACTCTAACTGGAGGGCATTCTACCAGGCAACCATACCATGCTCTTCAAAAGATGTCCAAGGTCATTGATCCAAGGTAATGGAAGGCTGAAAACCTGTTTCATACTGAAGAAACTAGTTATTGACAAAACTTGATTTAGATTAGATGTTGGGCCTAAAATAGAAATCACTGAGGAAAATGGGAAATGTGAAAGTGGTCCATGCATTACAAGGTAATGCTCAATCAATGCTAACGCCCTGTTATGTCTGTCCTAGAGAAGAACAGGACCTTGCAATTGGGAAATACAGACTTGCGTATTAAAGTCATAGTTCTGGGCTATCAAGTTTTTTAAAAATAGTGCAGAAATATTACAGAAACACCAAGGACTGAAGAATCTGGGTAGAAGACGTGGGAATTTTGTATACTATTCTGCAACTGTTAAGTTATAAACTATGTCAAAATAAAAAATTAACTGGCGACTGAACTACATTATATTCTTTTATTCTATATAACATGTTCCATATCATTGCATCAACACAAATTCCAAATTACCATCCAAAAGGACTTCATAAGCATAAATTGTCAGTTCACTGTATTATTTTAAGACCAGCTATAAGACCTGTCTTCTATTTCATTAAAGCAGAAAGCTGTAGAAAGCACTACCAAGTGACATCAAATCACTGCATCTTGGAATGGAATAGCTCCATTTTTCAAATGCTGCTGTTGTTATTAGGTGCTATCAAGTCGAGTATGACTCATAGCGACCCTATAAATGACAGATTTGAACCCCGTCCTATCCTGTGCCATCCTTACACTTCTTGATACACTGTGGAGCCCATTGTGGCAGTCACCGTGTCAATCCATTGGTCGAGAAGAAAAATGGATCCAAGACAAAGCTATTATTACTGAAATAAATATACTGCTACGTGGAACTACATACACAGAAGGACAGAACAGAGAAAAACAGTGGTCAGAGGGAGTGTGTATAATTGGCTTCAGTAATGTCAACCCTTTTGTGGGGTTTGAATCTATGCTGTAAGAAAATTAAAATAAGAATTCTTGCCCTGAGGAGCTGACAATCTGCAACAAAAACCAAGGGACAAATGGGTGAAAAAGATTTTCAAACATTCCCAATAAATGTTACAAATAAACTTGCTGCTAATAAAAACCTGACATTTTTAAGACAGTGGACTAGAGAGAAAAGAACTCAGAGAATTCTACTTTCCTGGCTCCCTGCGTTTATGGTCAGGTAAGCAAATTTCATTGATTACTCATCAAGGAGACCAACATCACTTGCTGCAAATTGCCTCTTAACTGTTCTACTTCCATTCTTGCCTCCCTTCAATCCATTCTCCTCAAATCAGCCAATATCCTTTCTCAAAATGGGTATCACATTATGTCATTTGCATACTTCAAACACTCTAACAGCTTCTTATTACTTATAGAAGAAGATCTAAGCCCAGACCAGCTGGGCATGGTCTAAAAGCTCTGTATTTTTTGCCTGTGTCCCTGCTCTGACCTCATTTCCTATCACTTTCCTCTCTGCTCACTAGGGTAGGTACACACTGGCCTCCTTTTAGCTCTTCAGTTATACTGAACTCCTATCAACCTTCCAGGTCTTCTCAAGGCCTGGAAATGGTGCAGGCAGCTTTATCGTCATCCAGGACTGCTACTCTCCATCACTCAGCACATTAATCTATTCCACTGTTTCCAGCGCAGTTTGTAATTAAAAATTCTCTCGTGTATGGATGTTATTTGATTATTTTCTGAGTTCCTGTATATACACTCCATAGCAGAGATAATCTTGTCTTGTTCCGTGCTAGAAGTGCTTGGCCCACTGGAACAGTGCAATAAATACAAGTTGAATGGTTTGAAAATATGTAACTTCCCAGATCTTCTTTTTCCTTACTCAGAAAATGGAGATGATTTTATCTGTTCTGGCTGTTGGAAGGAAAGTCTAATTTCCACCAGGTTTTTACTCTGCCTCCCACTCTGTGGAAATCAGTTTCAAGTAATACTGTCATTGACTATGATGATTCTCATTTTGCAAATAAGGTTACAAATGCGGTTACTGCCCTTACTGCAATGGCCGATAGTGAAGACCCTGGTACGAATCCAGACATGCCTAACCTCAAAACCTAATGAATATCCACAACTTCAGAGCTCCTGGCAAGTTCAGAGCTCCTTCTATGGCAATGAAATCAGCTACACATCTGTCCCCTTCAAGTCTCGAAAGCTATCCTATCCCGCAAGGTTAGTGTTTATTGTTTGGCTGATTTTGTTGGGGGGGGGTGTCCCCCTCCAAGACGAACACCCTTATATCCTTCAGTGACTCACAGAACCTAGGTCACCTGCCTCTGTACCAACTTAAGTTTGATGTCTCTTCCACTCCAGGCGTCAGGATTCTCGCAGAGTTTGCGAAATCCAGGCGTCACCGGAGGGTAATACAGAAAGGCTTCCTGGCAGGTGATCCTTGAGCCCAGGTGAAGGGCGTTCAGGAGCTGGCCGGAGGCCAGCGATCTCCAGGTGAAAGGACCATGCGAGAGCTGCCACTGGGGGCTGCTAAATCGAGACAAAGGCTAGCGGGGTTTAAGAAGATAAGGCGCACATCCCCAACGATGAGGAGCTTGCACGAGGAGGCATCTCCCTCAATACGAGTAAGGGAGGATCTAGAAGGATGCAAAGGCAGGCGAAGAGCTCCAAAGAAAAACGCGAACTTACCCCCGCCCTGACAACCCGGCCTCCGTAGCTCGCCTACCAGCGCCGCCACCCGAGGAGCCAGGCAGCAGCGGCAGCCGCGGGCCAACGAGACATCGCGAGAACGAGCGGTGTCGCGAGACTTGAGCTGCGCTGGGGCCCGCGTGTCCGCCTTGCGGTCGCTATGGGAGGTTTCCCGCTTACGGCATGGAGGTGCTCGCTCTCCTGTGGTTGGCGGTGGGGTCACTGTGGGTCCCTTACCAGGACTGCGGGGAAGATAGAGCCTCTTTCCAGGCGGTGGTGGAATGGAACAGGAGGGGCTGAGAGGGGGTGGCGGCGGCTCGCGACCTGGGGACGCGCGAGGCTGGCTGGGGACCCGCTTTTGCAGCCGCCGCGGCGGCCGAAGAGCACGAACCCTTACACGCGGACTCAGCAGGAGGACTGGCGGCGGCGGAACAAGACTGTGCTCACGTACGTGACCGCGGCCGCTGTGGCCATGTTGGGGGCGTCCTACGCCGCTGTGCCCCTCTATCGGCTCTATTGCCAGGTAGGGACCGCGCGATCGGTAGGGACTCTGGTCCTTAGGTGCCTCCCATCAGCTGAGCGACCCCAGGCACAGCAGGAGGGAAGCCTGTGCGTTCCTGTATCATCCTCTGATCGCATGGTTGCATTCTTGTTTTGCTCACTCTGCTAACTTCATCTGCAAGCGTGATGTCCTGTGGGGACTGGCCCTTCCTGATTACACAGGCAAAGTGTATGAGCCTTCCTTGGCCATCAAGACAGATTTGATTGTTCTTTGGGAAGTCCATGGTATATTCAATATAGTCACTTTTCACTAAACTCTACAGTCCAAAGGCATCAGTTCTTCTTCAGTCTTATTCTTTGTCCAGCATCCACATTCATATGCAGCAAATGAAAATACTACAGCTTGGGTCAGACACACAGTAGTCTTCAAAGCATATCCTTACTCCTTACTGATATGTACTGACTTGTCGGAAACTACTCAGAGCTGACCCTTCAGCGGGTTTTAAGAGACAGTAAATATCATGGGAAGAGATTGCCCACCTTTCTCCCACAGAGCCGCTGGTGGATTCGAACTGCTTGCCTTTGGGTTGAGAGCAAGGTTCAGATTTGTCCTTTGGTTTCTTGAATGTCGGTATCTTGAGTGTTGATTGTGCATCTCAGTAAAATGAAATCTTTTAAAACGTCAGGATTTTTTACTCTCTCATACGTAGTGTTGATTGGTCAAGTTGTGAGAATTTTTGTTTTGAGTCTTTGAACTTCTTTGACAAGAGCTTAATTAGGAGCCTGGTGCCGGACAAATCCCTGGCCATTGAGCTCTCCATGGTGTCACAGATGGAAGGGAAGATCAAGATTAGTTAACACCCATGGATTTTACCATAGAGGAAAGGGTCCCAAAAGAGGTCCTAACTCAAGGTCACCCAGGAACTTGATGGCAGAACTGCAGATAGAGGTCATGTCCAGGTCATGATTGTGCTGACACCGTGCTGCATCTCTAAAACACAGTGAACTTCTGTAATCTCTAAACTTCTTGTTAGATGTCAGAACAAACATGTAGTTGTTCATCAAGTCTATGACAACTTATAGCGACCCTATGAACAGGGGATCTGAACTCTGCCCTATCCTGTGCCATCCTCATCATCTCTGCCACACTACAGCCCATTGTTAAAGTCACTGTGTCAGTCCCCTCCTTCGCTGACTCTCTACCTTTCCAAATACAATGTCCTTTTCCAAAGATTGTCCCCTCCTAGTAATGTGCCTAATGTATGAGAGACAAAGTTTCACTCACTTTGCCTCCGAGGAGCACCCTGGCTGCACTTTTTCCAAGACATACATGTGTGTCTTTCTGCCAGTCTATGGGCTATTCAGCACTCTTTTCCAATACTGCATCTCTAAGGTGTTGGTTCTTTTGTCATCTGTATGCATTGTCATTTTGTAGTATTGCTAGTGATTGAAAAGATGGTTTGAATGGTTTGCGCATTAGTCTTCCAACTGGCGTGTTTGCTCCTCAGCACTTTGCAGAAGTCCCTGTCATCACACTTTCTCAATGCAATACGTCTCCTAGTCTCCTTCCTGCTAGTATGATGGGTATTGATTGTGGATCCAAGCAAGATGAAGCGCATGGCAATTTCTGTCTCTTTTCCATCTATCATGATGTTGCCTATTGGCCCAATGGTAAGGGTTTTTGTTTTTCTGATGTTTAGATGTAACCTATATTGAAGGCAGGAGTCTTAAAGGTGCCAGAAATTCAGGGTGGAGTTAGGAATGCTATGGCAGGAGGGCTATTTTTGCTGATGTTAGATGGATCCAGACTGAAAACAGAGAATACCAGAAGGATGTTTCTTTGGTTTTTATTGACTATGCAAAGACATTTTCCTATGTGGATCATAACAAATTATGGCTGACCTTGAAAAGAATGAGAATCCCAGAACACTCAATAATGTGAAATCTTTATCTAGCCCAAGAAACCAGTATGAACAGAGCAAGGAAACATTACAGCATGGTTTAAAATCAGAAAAGGTGTAGTAGAGCTGTATCCTTTCTCCATACACATTCAGTCTGTATGCAGAACAAATCATTTGAGAAACTGGATTATATGAAGAAGAATAATGAGGCATCAGAATTGGAGGAAGACTCATCAATCTGCATTACGCACATGATAAAACCTTGCTTGCTGAAAATGAGAAGGACTTGAAACGCTTGCTGAAGAGGATCAGAGATTGCAGCCTTAAATCTGGGTTATGTCTCAACATCAAGAAAACCTAGTGGTTCTTCCATGTTAAGAAACATGGATTGGATTTTTCAGATTTATCAATTAAATCAGAATGAGACTCAGGCATCACTAAATGTTCAATTCATCTGGGAGTTTCCCTGTGCAGCTAAGTTTGGGAGTCACTGCCTTCTGTGATGTTCATGGTACAACTCGTCCCTGCCACGTTTCTTAACACCTGGCTTATTTTCCCGGTCCATAGGGATGATAACTTGAATTGACTTTTGATGGTGACTGAAACAGTAGACATCTAAAGGACTTTTCAGCCTTCCAACCACAATTTCTGCATGGGAAATGTCATGGCTTGATATTTGGAGAATGCTTATGGAATCTGAATTAGCCTCAATCAGACCAGCCTTAATGTCTTTCTTTTTCTTGTTCTTGATAAGCAATGTGTATTTTCAGGAAGAAAGGATGAGAAGACAGGGAACCATGGAATTTGTAATTTGAAACTTACGTTCAGTGTTAAGGTAACAGTGGTATTTCCAGATGAGCACCCTAATTTCATTTGGAATCCCAGGATTTTAGATCCACAAGCAAGGGATTATTATGTAAACCACTTAATGCACTGACCCTAATTTGACAGTAAGAAAAACTCTGTATTCAGTTCTTGGAACTAGTTAATAGCAGGATAAGACTAGAACCCAGAGTATCTTTTCCGTGTCCTCTACTGTTTCTTAAAATTTATTTCATTTCTCTAAGCTTTGGGCTTACAAATTAGAATATATATATATATTCTAAGACATTAAGGAATCTTTGGGGAGCTTTTTAAAAATGTCTTTCAGAAATTCTTATGGAAATTACATTTTCAGTCCCAAACTGATTTTCCTATATCTATTAAACTAAATATGTTTCCTAACACACCATTTAGGATCATAATGTAATTTGATAGTGTTACATTGTAGTGGGGTAATGCCCTACTAATTACTTAAATTGACCTAAGTAATAAACAGAAGATAGTAATAGCTTTGTTAATTGTGTTTCTAGGCATCTTCCTTTAGCCTCAAATTTGTTATTCTTTCCTCCTTGTATATTAATAGGTTAATGATCTAGAGATCAGAATTCTGGCAACTTCGAGCATCAGAAGAATGATGACCTTTGAAATTTTTTTTTTAAGGAATCTTTGAAAAATAATGCAATGGAAATAAGTATGAGTTACAAATTATTGAGGCTCTATTGATGAGTTGATTCAGTGGCCAAGTGGATTACGTCTTTGATTAACTGATGATGTCTATAAAAGCTATATTATATGAATAAATAAAAACATACACTACCATTAACTAGATTGAAAAATTGTTTTGGATGATGCCTGGGAGAAGTTGACAAAAAAGGTACAAAAATAATAGGAAAGCTCCATGTGTGTGCAGGTACTGCGTAATTCATCCAGAGTTGGCATCTTGGCAGATGTGTGTAGCTGACATTAGACTTTTCAGGAATGGAATCAAGCGTCAGTAAATACTAAATTCCTCAGGGGGCTTCCGTGTGCAGCAAAGTTTGGGAATTGCTACCTTAATAACATCATGACTGATAGTCACAGTTGACGTCCGTAGGTTAGCCTGGACTCAGTTGAGCTATAATACAATATAGGAAAGAACTCCAGCAGCATCAGCTTTGAAAGTACTGTTTAACACCCTGTACTCTCATGTCTGTTTTCAGACCACTGGACTCGGAGGATCTGCAGTCGCAGGCCACTTGTCAGACCAGATTGAAACCATGGTGCCTGTTAAGGATCGCATCATTAGAATTACCTTCAATGCAGATGTACACGCAAGTCTGCAGTGGAACTTTAGACCTCAGCAAACTGAAATCTTTGTAAGTGGCTTAATAAGAGATGCCTTTTGCATTGTGAAAAGTATTTCTTTAAAAAATTTATTTTAACTTGTATTTTCATTCATTCAGTGTTGCACATTTTCTTCCCTTCCCCTTCTCCGAGTTCACTTTTTAAAAAATATTCACTGTTGCACAGTTTTCTCCCCCTACCTCCCAAGTCCTCTTTGCAATGTGCTTCTTACTCTGGACCGTTGACTTACAATAATGCCTAATCATAGATTCCTTTTAAACAGTTCTCTCCCTCATCTTTTCCAATACAGAGTTCATTGTCTATCCACTCTTTTCCTATTCTCCTCCCAACCTCCCTTTATAATGGTGGTATGAAAATTATTTTATTACTTTCTTAGTTTTAGGATACGTTCCTGTAAACTTAATTTTAAAAACTTGACAGACTTAAACACTGGATTTTTTTATTCCCACAAACTACTTTTTTAATAGTGCCCTGCACCTAACAGAGTAGAAGATACTTTAACTTTTATGTTATATATTGTTCTTGCTGTTAGGTACCATCAAGGCCACCAGGACTTACAGCCACCTGTCAGAACCTTGCCCTATTCAATCTGAATTTTTTCAAGTTACATATTAATTAGTTTAAACTCAGCTTTACAAAATAGAAAATGCCATCTGTTTAAACAAGAACCACCATGTTCTCTGGTTACTGATTTTGGTAGGAGCTGAAGCTGTCAGGCGTAGAGTCCATTTTTCTCAGGTATACATGACAGGGAAAATGTGAAAATCATTGGTTCCCAAGAATCCTTTACCTTCAAAAAAAGGAAGGGGTAATGATAAAGCCTTTAGAAGTTATTAGGGACTATCAAGTCAAATATAGCTCATAGCAACCCTGTGAACAACAGATCTGAACCTTGTCCTATCCTGTGCCATCTTGGTCATACTAAATAGTCATTTCTACTCTGTACCCGAAAGTTCTCTCTTAAGACTTTAAGGATTTAATTGAAATTATCTCGTTAATTGAGGATTAACCAGAAAGACTTAATTTCAACCCTTACTGAAAAACTTATACATAATATTTTTTAATGACCGATTTGTCCTAAACGATTGAGGATCCCATAACTTATTATTTGTTCCCATTAAGTGGTAGTATAACATGGTACTGAGGATCACTGGGTGTGAGTGCAACGATGAAAGTTAGTTCTGCTCATTGGAGAGCCACCTTGAGCTGGAATCAGCTCAACAGCATGGTTTCTGTTTGGTTTTCCTCCTGGTTCACTGTCTTAAAAGGAGCCCTGGTATGTCATGTGTGTCGGCCTGAAGGCCATTGATTTAAATTCACCAGCCACTTCACAGGAGAAAGCACAGCAGTCTTCGTGAAGATTTGGTGGTCGTGGTGGTGGTGGTTCTGGTGGTGGTGTGTACCTTCCAGTCGGAACCAACCCTTAGCTGACCCTCTGGCAGATTTTCAGAGGCAGTTAATCACACGGGAGGAGATGGTCCATCCTTTTCCCAGGGAGCAGCTGGTGGCCTCAGACCGTAGCCTCAGACACCAGATGAAGAGCTGCCATGAGTTGTTCTAGATGGCAGTGGTTCTTTGGTTTTAGGTACAAGGTGTTAATAGCTGAATTGGTACAGTGACAAAACAGTCTTTGGAAATTGATTTTTTTTTTTTTAAAAAGTCTTGATATTTTTATCTTTTCATGACGCTTTTTGGTTAATTAAAGTTGTAGTCACTTGAGAATGTTACTGTGTTTATAAACTGAGCTTAATATGTTACTCTTAAAAAATTCTTTTTAGTCAGTCTTCAAACATTCATCTAAGTGTTACAGTACTAGTCTGTGCATTGCTGTACAGAGGTAACTCGTGGTTGCTGTGATGCTAAACACTGTGACACTGATGTGTCAAATGTGATAACTGTTACCCATGGTGAAAAGTGTTTGGTGGAGCTCCCCAATTAAAACAAGCTTGGAAGCAGGAGTGGCATCCACTTCCAAAAATAGCTTGCCTCTGGAAACCCTATGAACTTGGAGAAACGATGAAAGTTATAGAAGTGTTCAGGTCTTTCGTTCATTGGGTCACTATGAGTTGTCTACAACTCAACGTCACTTAACAACAGCAACTTACGATATTGAAGTTACCAAGAATTTAGACTTGGTCTGTAATAGACTAGTCTTGTGTATGTACACATTTTTAAAAAAAGCACTGGCTCTTTGTTGATAAATGCAAATAAGATTTGAAACTCAGTTATGTCTGTGGATAATATTGGCGATGTATTTTGCTGACTTTTACATTAGATGAATTCTGGTGGCCTGGTGAGCTGTGCTGCTCGCCCAAAGGCAGTACCTCTCTAGCAGCTACTCAAGAGGAACACGGGCAGTTGCCTCCTGTGTCCTTTACAGCCTCTGAAGACTCGCTGGAGAGTCAGCTATGAGTCCATTCTGACCCAACAGCAATAAGTGACAATTTACACCAGATACTATCATCTGATGAAAAAAAAAAATTGTGGTTATTTAGTAGGGTAAAGAAGTAATTTTGTGACATTTCAAATATTGATCATGTATACTTTCTTTAAAACAGGTAGTGCCAGGAGAGACTGCACTAGCATTTTACAAAGCTAAGAATCCTACAGACAAACCAATAATCGGAATTTCTACGTACAACGTTGTACCATTTGAAGCTGGGCAATATTTTAATAAAATACAGGTATAACTAACTGCAAACTTGTAGAATGTTATAAAGCCACATGGAAAGTTTAACGTCAAATTTACTTCAGGGGTTTAGTACCTACTTGTAATTTCCGAAAATGCATTTTTCTTAAACTGCAAGCTGTTTTTTATTGTTTATACAATAAACAGTCTTTGTAGAGACTGAGACCCAAAGCAAACATGGAACTAATTTTAGAAGAAATCTATTTGGGGTCCTTAATCCTAAAATCTAAACTGAAGATGAAAAATTGACATTTAGTTCATTATAGAACTGGAGGATGTAATTTTATTTAAGTATGTTTATGAAAGCCAGTGAATGAACTATGTTCTCAGTTTCGTTATAATAATATTTATTAAGTCCTCTCTTTCTCTGATTTCTAGTGCTTCTGTTTTGAAGAACAAAGGCTTAATCCACAAGAAGAGGTAGATATGCCAGTGTTTTTCTACATCGATCCTGAGTTTGCTGAAGATCCACGAATGGAGAACGTAGATCTCATTACTCTCTCTTACACGTTTTTTGAAGCTAAAGAAGGTCACAAGTTGCCGGTTCCGGGCTATAATTGAAATCGGCAACTAAATCTTACTGCAGAATTTTTATTTTTAATAAATCATGTATCTTATCTTCTCAGAGGAGGAAAAATGTATTATACTGTATAGCTTTCTATTTAAATACAATGTACAGATGTACTAAAGTTTTTATTGCAACACCAAATAATTTATGTCACTAAAAATTAAAAGATCAGATTTTTAGTCTAAGGACCTACCATGACTAAGATATATGACTGTTTGACACCAAACTTAAAGAGTTTGGTAGGCAGTATTAAAAGAACCATGTTACTTTCTAAATATGTGATGATGGTAGTGTTATGTGCCACTGGCTCAGAGCTGGCCCTCCAGTGGGTTTTCAGAGGCTGTATATCGCCGGAGAGGAGATTATGATTGCCTGTATTTCTCCTGTGGAGCTGCTGATGGATTGATTCAAACAACCTGCCTTTGTACTGGCTGTTATTGTTGTTCATAGATGAACCTCCCAACAATTTAATGGTACAGCTTAATTAAATAGATCTCTTCCAAATTATTGGCCATCATTCTTATAGCAGTGAATCTTAAGAATTTTAAAACCAAAGCAATGTATACCTACTGTAACATCCCAGGTTACGGCCTAGCATCGCTGACCATGTATGTTGTTGTTATGTGCCGTAGAGTCGCCTGCGACTCATAGCGACCCTATGTACAACAGCCCTAAACTCCGCTCTGTCCTGCGCCAATCGCACTGTCTCTGACACTCCCATTCCGATTATCCCAGTCACTGAATCAATCCATCCCATAAAGGGCCTTCCTCTCCTGTGCTGTCCCTCCACCC